GCAGGAGACCCTGCACCATTTCAATAAATCCAATCTCGTCTTTATAATGACCAGCAACCAGGGCAACAACACTCTGAGCAGTCAATCAATCAGAATAGAGCTGGAAGGGACCTTGGAGGTCTTCTAGTCCAACCCCCCCCCCACCCTGACCAAGCAGGAGACCCTGCACCATTCCAGACAGTTATCCAATCTCTTCTTTATAGCAACTATTTGAGACAAGTGGCTGTCCAGACTCTTCTTAAAAGCCTCCAGGGATGAAGGACCCACAACTTCTGGTGGCAAGCTGTTCCACTGGTTCATTGTCATCCCTGTCAGGAAATTTCTGCTCAATTCTAGGTTGCTTCTCTCCTTGCTTAGTTTCCATCCATTGTTTCTTGACCTGCTTTCAGGTGCTTTGGGGAATAAGTTGACCCCCCTCTTCTTTGGGGCAGCCCCTCAAATACTGGAAGGCTGCTATTATGTCACCCCCCTAATTCTTCTTTTCTCCGGAGTGGCCAAACCCAATTCCTGCAACCTTCATGTGTTTTGGCCTCCAGGCCTTTAATCCTCTTAGTTGCTCTTCTCTGCACTTTTTTCCCCCCAAAGTCTCAACGTCTTTTGATGTTGAGAAAGAAGGGAAAAGAAAGAAGAAAAAGGAAGGAGGGAGGTAGACAGAAAATAGATAAAGGGAAAAGAAGAAAGGAAAGAGGGAGAAAAAGGAAAGAAGAGAAAAAGGAAGGGAAAAAGATAAAGGGAAAAGGAAGGAAGGAGGGAGAGAAAGGAAAAGGAAAGGAAGAAAAAGGAAAAAAGATAAAGGGAAAAGAAGAAAGAAAGGAGAGAAAGAAAGGAAAAGAAAAAAGGGAGGGAGAGAAAGAAAGGAAAAGGAATGAGAAAAAGGAGGCAGAGAAGGAAAAGGGGGAAAAGATAAAGGGAAAAGAAGGAGGGAGAGAAAGGAAAAGGAAAGGAAGAAAAGGAAAAGGAAAGGAAGAAAAAGGAAAAAAGATAAAGGGAAAAGAAGAAAGAAAGGAGAGAAAGAAAGGAAAAGAAAAAAGGGAGGGAGAGAAAGAACAGAAAAGGAAGAAAAAAAACGGGAGGGAGGGAAAGAAAGGGAAAAAGAAAGTGGAAAGAAGAAAGGAAGGAGGGAGAGAAAAGAAAAAGGAAGGAAAAAGAAAAGAGGGAGGGAGAGAAAGAAAGAGGCTCCAGAGAAGGGATGGTGGAGATTTAATTTAACCCGTTGGTTCCCTGATAATGCATGGATTTGCCTCCTTTCCAAAAGATTGTGGCAGTGCCCACATCTGGTTCATTTAGCATAATGTGCCAAGTTGGGCACCGACCTAGAGAAGATCTCAGCCCTTCCCAGAGGAGCCTGCTCTCCCCCTCCCCAAAAGCTTCCCTGGGCACGAACCCTGGCAGGGACCTCGCCCAACCTCCACAGCCGGCCCGGGTGCCACCTCAGGCTGCACCAGACTCTTGCGGCATCACGTTCCTGGCAGAGGCTCCGCTCGGCCCGGGGCTGATGAGCCCAAAAGAGGCTCAGCCAATGGCCGGCCGTGTCTCCCTCCAACGGCCAGTGTTGCCACAGGCTGGCACTCCACAACACACACACACACACACACTGCCCGGAAAAGCAAGCTGCCTATGATCAGCTGGCAGCGCCCTCTCTCCCCCCCACGCGGGTGCCAACTCTTCTTCTCCCTTCGCTGGTCTGGCCGCATCTGGTGGCAGCGAATTCCAGCGGGTACCTTCAGGTGGCTGCCAGGTGTGTGTCTGTGATGGGGGGAGGGCAGCTTCTCTTGGGTCAACCTGGTGAGAAAGAAGACCCCCTCCCCATTTCCAGAAAGATGCCCTCCTTGGCTCGGGGGTCCCTGCTAGGGAGGGGGGGGGGTCTTCCTCCTCCTCCTGCTTCTGGATCCCGACTGGCTGGCTGGCTGCTTCAGGACTTCGTCCCCGGACATGCCTGATTGGCTGGTTCCCCCCCACCCCGCGCCCCCACCCCCTTTTGGCCAGGGAGGCGGTTGCCATGGCGACCGCCGGACAGCCATGGCCTTGGGTGGGGGATGCAGCGCTCGTGGCTCAGGCGGGCAGCCCCCATCCCACCTGTTTTTCAAAAGCCCACCAACCCCTTGAACCGAGGATGTGGGGAAAGGGGGGTCTTCTGGATCTCAGGTCCAGGTCGGCCTCTCCGAGCCCAAGATCAGACGGGGGTGGGGTGGGGGGTGCAGCAGGGACCCTCACCACCAACCACCTTCTGCCTTTGAAGAAAGGAGGGGTTCCTGCTTCGACATGCGCCCCACGATTTCGCCTCCTCCCTCCCTCCCCCCCCCCGCCCGAATTGGCTCTAGGTCTTGATCTGTCCTGGGGGATCTAGGCAAGTCCCGATCCCAGATCCTCAGCCTGGCTGGGAAGGAGGGGCGTTGTAGTACAGCATCTCCCTCCAGGACGTCCGGAGTTGGGGAGGCCGGGGATTGAAGGGTGCAGCCTGAGGTCATCAGGGGGGGCTACACGTGGTCCGAAGGCAGCAGACCAGATGGCCGCAGGGGCCTCCCTTTCCACTGGGCGGTCTTGACCCCGGACCCCTTTCCAATTTGGGGTGCGCTTGGGGTGCTCATGGTCACCCTGGAAGCCCTTCTGGTCCACAAACAGGCCATTGACTCTCAGTGGGACCCCTCGGTCTTTGTGGGGGCTGGAAGGAAGGGCTCCCTCTCGGCCTCCACCCCAGGGAATACAGAGGGAGAGGGATGGAACGGAACGGAACAGAACATAGAATAGAATAGAATAGAACAGAATAGAATAGAATAATAGAACAGAACAGAAAATAGAATAGAATAGAATGGAATGGAATGGAACGGAACATGGAATGGAATAGAATAAAATAGAATGGAATAGAACAGAACATAGAATATAATAGAACAAAACAGAACATATAATAGAATGGAATAGAATGGAATAAAATAGAATAGAATGGAATGGAATAGAATAGAACAGAACATAGAATGGAATGGAATAGAATAGAACATTAGAACAGAACAGAAAGGAACAGAATAGAATAGAACATAGAACGGAATGGAATAGAATAAATAGAAAATTAGCAATAGAATAGGATAAGAATAAAATAGGAGCTGGAAGGGACCTGGGAGGTCTTCTAGTCCAGCCCCCTGTTCAATCAGGAGACTCCATCCCATTGCAGGGGAGGGGCTGTCCAGCCTCTTCTTCAAAACCTCCAGTGAGGGAGGAGCCCCTTCTTCGCTCCCTGCCCTGCAGGGGGGGGGGTCCGTGTGTGGGGGGGGTCCCCCCTGTTTCCCAGAGAGCTGCTGGGGCTTCCAGAGGCTCTGAGAGGGCGGGGGGTGTTTCTCCCGGGGGCTGAACTCCAGAGGGGGCTGTGGGCGGGGGAGGGGGCTAGACCAGAAGAGGAGGACGGAGCCATTCGGAGTATCGTAGCCGCCGCATCTCGCCCGGGGAAGACCGTGGAGCGAGGACGGGCAGCGCAGTCAAAGGCATCCCGGTAAGAGGAGGAGGAGGAAGAGAGGAAGGGGAGAAGGAGAAAGACAAGGAAGAGGAAGGGGAGGAGGAAGAGAAAGTGGAGGGGGGGAAGGAAAAGAGGAAGAGGAGGAAGAGGAGGAAGAGAAAGGGGAGGAGGAGGAGAAGAGGAGGAGGAGGAGGAGTGTTAGGTTAGCTCCCCGTTGGGAGAGCGAGTAAGTTCAGACCCTAACCCTAACCCTAACGAGGAGGAAGAAAGGAAGAGGAGGAGGAAGAGGAGAAGACGAAGAGAAAATGGAGGAGGAGGAGAGGAAGAGAAGGAAGAGAAAGTGGAGGAAGAGGAGAAGAAGAAGAGGTGCAGGAGGAAGAGGACAAGGAAGATGAGGAGGAGGAGGAGGAGGAGAGGAAAAAGAAAATAGGAGGAGGAGGAGGAAGAGGAAGGAAGAGGGGGAAGAGGAGAAGAGAGGGAGGTGAAAAAGAGGAAGAGAAGGAAAGGAGAAAGAGAAGGGGAGAAGGAAGAAGAGGAAAACAGCAGGAGGAAGAGGAAGAGAAGGAAAGGAGAAAGAGAAGAGGAGGGAGGGAGGGAGGGGGCATCCCCAACCAGGCGCCCGCGGGGTCTCCGGGCGCCGCAGAGCGCGGGGGGGAGAGGGTGTCCCGTCCCGCCCCCTCCCCGCCCCCTGGCGAGGCTCCCCCCATCGGCGCCGCCGGCTGGAAGTCCAAAGGCAGCCGCAGCCTCGGCTCTCCTCTGCGGGCGGCGGCGGAGGAGCGAAGGGACCGCCCGGGCTGCGCGCAACAGCTGGCGGCCGCGCCCTGCCAGGTGACGGGGGCTGCGGAGCGGGCAGGCGGGGGGGAGAGGGAAGGAAACGGCCTCTGCTCGGGACCCCAAAGCCCAGCATCCGCAGCCGCCTTCGGAGGGGGGCGCGACGGGGCTTTTGCGCGTCTTCTGAGAAATGGGGTTTCATGGACCGCGAGAAAAGGGGGATCTGGGAGAGATTGGGGGGGCTGCCGTCTCCTCCCCTCCTCCTCCTCTTCCTCCCCTTCTCCTCCTCCTCCTCCTCTTCCTCTTCTCCTCCCTTCCTTTCACCTTTTCATCCTCTTCCTCCCCTTCCTCTTCCTCCTCTTCCTCCCTCCCTCTTCCTCCCCTTCCTCTTCCTCCTCTTCCTCCCTNAGTATAATAAAAACATTAAAAACTGAATAATTTAAGACTAAATGTTTAAAAAAAACATTGAAAAATTGTCCTGGACATCTGTTAAGTTCGCCCCATAGAACCAACTTTTCTTGTCCGTCGTTAAGTGAATCACTGCAGTTGATGAGTGAGTAATGCAGTTGTTAAATGAACCCAGCCTCCCCATACACTTAGCTCGCCAGAAAGTCACCAAAGGGGATCACATGACCCTGGGACACAACAACGGTCGTAAGTATGAGTCTGTTGCCAAAGGTCTGGATTTTGATCACGTGACCTTTGGGAAACTGAAAAGAAAAGAAAGAAACCCGAACCTTTGAGACAACCGTGATCCGGATGGCTGAGAATCTCCACAGGCGTCAAGTGACTTAAAAGTAAAGTTTCGTAGCTTGTGCTGGGCCAGTCACAGCCACTTTATGGACTAGCGCCTTGAAATGCCCTCTCTTTTCAGCTGGCGATGGGGAAGATGATGGAGCAGGGCCCCGTGCTGATCATCACCTTCCAGGCTCAGCTGGTGATGGTGGTTAAGAACCAGAAGGGAGAGGTGGTGGAAGGAGATCCGGTAAGGGGCTTACCCGCGGGGGGTGGGGGGCTTCCTGGTCCATCATTCGAATGGCGCCAAATTCAACACCCCCAGCTGAGAAGGAAGGTAAAGATGAGCCCTTAGGACAGGGGTGTCAAACTCGACTCCATTGAGTGCCCAGGATGGGCGTGGCCAGCTCGACATCACTCGTGTCGTCGGCGCTTGTGGCGGCCTGAGCGCTGCGCCAGCAGAAACAGGCTCCGGAGCCTGCGGTGGCCGCCTTCAACCCTCTGCCCTTCCTTTCTCTCCCCCTCCCCCCTCAGGAGAAAGTCCTGCGGATGTTGTACGTCTGGGCCCTCTGCAGGGACCCCGAAGAGCTGAACCCCTATGCTGCCTGGCGGCTTCTGGACATTTCTGCCTCCAGCACCGAGCAGATCCTATGAGTTGGCCCCGGGGGGGCTCGGCAGCGATTCTGCAGAGGGTTTCCCCCCTCCTCTTTCCTGCGCAGAGTCCAGCACGAGGGACCCCGTGGTGCAGCGGGGCTGGACCGGGGCGCTGGCTCGGATGTGGATGCTGGGAGATCCTCCCCCCTGGACTCTGTTTTCCTGGTCTTCAGACTCGGAGCTTGCCGGCATCCGAGCACGATGCGGAGCAACGCTGAGCCTCCTGTCCCCACGGACTTCTGCCGGGACGCCGGCCTGCGCTTTGTCAAAGTTGTGCCTGTTCCGAAAACTCGCTGCCCTCCCGTCTCGCGCCGAAGAGGCTTCTGGAACGGTCCTTTCCTTGTGGCTGAGTCGAGAGGCTGAGCCGGACCCCAGCGGGGCGGCCTTGGGGAGGGGGTGGGGTGGGGGACAACCTACCCACACGTGGGAGAGGAAAGCAGGAGGGTCTCTCGGTGTGGAAGGCTGGCAGGAGGGGCTCTTCCTCCCAGGAGCTACTTTCTCATAGAGTGGAACCTAGGGGTCTTCGGTACCCCTCCCTTCTTTCTGCAGCCCTGGCAGGTTTTGGACTTGGCTTAGCGCCCTTGGTGGGGGGCCAGGGGGGGTAGTGGCCTCCTGCCCATAAGAGTCTTCTACCCCTCCCCTCTGTAAATTAAAAAAAAATGCAGCCCACCCCACGTGTGCGCATATCTGTTCGGACCCAGCTCCCCAAACACGGCCGACCCCCTGAAGTGAACGCAAAGATTCCTTGATTTGGAGCGCCGGCAAAAGGTTCCTCTCTCACCGCAGGCTAAAAAGGCCGGCCGGCAGGGAGATGAATAGTTGCCTGCCCCATCTATTCACCTCCACCCCTGAATTTTATCCCCAGAGCTCAGGTGGGGCTTCTCCAGCAGCTGTGGCTCTTCCGTCCCGAGGACCGGCCCATAGATTTCCACTGCTCTCCTCTCCTCTCCTTTCTGTGCATCCGTACATCAGGCACTGGGCCCGGCTGCTCCTCCTCTTCCTCATCAGCCCCCTCCAGGCCTGGGGGCTGTTGACTCTCCATCTGAGGCTCTGACGGACGGCCCAGGTCCTCTCCCTCTCTCTGTTACTTTCTCTCTATCTCCCACCCTCCCTCTT